GATTAATATTATAAACAAACGCCTTTAATTTTTTTTGATTCAATGTCATAAAAATACAATATAATATTATTTGGTAACATTTTAAACCAGCATAATTCCAAATATAAAGAAAATTGAACATAAAATTACAATAACATCTATCTGTATATATTTAAACAGAATATACAAATTATACTTTAACACCATCTGATAGAAATAGAGAAGAAATAAAGGAAGAGGAAATTGCAAAGGCTGTCAAGGCTGTTGAAGATGGCATGCCTTACAGAGCTGCAGGTGACCTATTTGGAATCGAGCATACTGCTTTATTTTACAGAGTTAAAAAGAACAAATAATTAAACCAGAATAACGAAGATGGTGTTCATAAAGAGAAATGTATCTCTTAGTATAGTTTTTGATGTATCTATCAAGTTTTTGATGAGGACTAAGAGCAAAAGCTATGTGAGTACCTTTTAAAATGTTCGGCAATAAAGTATGGAATGAGCTACCAACAAGTTAGGACATTTGCTTTTGAGTAGGTACGCAACAAAATTGCAAAGAAAAATTCCAGAAAGCTGGAAAGAATATATAATTGCAGGCCAATACTGGGTGTTAGGGTTCATGAAGCGCCATAAAGATCTAACATTGAGGAAACCAGAAAACACAAGCCTTTCCAGAGCTACATCATTCAACAAATCCAATGTTGATGACTTTTTTAATAACTACGAACGTGCACTAACAATGGGAAATTTCACTGGTGACAAAATAAACAATCATGATGAGACTGGAGTGTCCACAGTATTACAAGCACCTAATGTAATAGCAACATATTTTCTGATATTGGTACATTTCAAATTATTCGGGTGAAACATTGAATGAATAAAGTTAAAATGTTTAGTGAAATACATACAACTCTAGACAAAAATAGCAATAACATGTTATAAATTAATACCGAATTAATAATAACAATTAAATAAGACATTTACAGACCAACTACCATAAGGTGAACATTTTCAATCAACGCAACTTGAAGTTAACTCTACGCATCGCAAAATCAACAAAATTAAAGAGCAAGTTAAATAAATGTACAACTCGACAACAGTTGTTGAACGTTGGCACAGGCCAAACTGTTCTGGAGTTTTGTAGAAAAAGCCCATGAACCCCCAAAACAACAAAAAAGGTTCACAGGCTAAATTTTGACTCTAAAAATCGGTGGCTAGCAAAACGCTAGCCGATGCGGTGTTCAGGCTTTAGAAAAAAGAGCGGGGTCATAGAACACCAAAAAAATGGGAAACGATCCGCCTACAGACGACAAGGCATGGAGTTACCAAACGAAAAGTATGCCCTCACCCCCAAGCGAAGATGCTCTGGAAGAAAGGTCACACTTGGCTCGGCCTCCGTACGAGCCTTGTCGCCATCGTTCATAACAATAGTCAACATAGTTCAAAAATATGAATGAGTGCACCGTCAATTGTAGGCCGAAGCCTTTAACAAGTGACGGTAGAAAGGAAAACTTTGATAATCCTTAAAAGGATATCAAAGAACCTTGATAAATAATCCTAAAATAAAAAAAAAACACATTCATTCCAGTCCCCTTTCGCCAAGACGGATCGTGATGTGGAACATTCAACACCATTCGACAAACATACATGTAACAAATTGCAATTCTACAGGTAAACAATTAAGTAAAGTAAGGCTATAGCTATTATAAATTAAAAATGGAAAGAGAAAAATAAAAATGAATGTAAATAAACTGCAATTACATTAATTAATGATACATTTTTATTATTATTGAAAAGGCTTAATATTTAAACAACATGTAGAATAGCAATTTGCTAGTTATTGTCAATATTTGTATCTTTCTTCCATTTTGATTTAGGGTTCAAAAGGAACTTGTACCTTCATATAGCAAAAAACCCACTGCGCAAGGTAGTAATTTTGTAAAAAATTCTGTTTAAGATTAATGTTGTATTAGAGTGAAAATTAATGTTAAAATAAATGAAATAAGAAATAAAACCGATTGGAAGTTGGTCTATGTTTGTCTAATTAAAAATTTATGATAAAATGTCACAGGCACAGTCATCATGTAGGTCAGAACCAGGCGAGGAGGATATGTGTTTTATACCAACCTAAAAAGAATGTACTATAGGGTGAAGTGGGGTAAGAGTAACCGGGGGGCTAGTGTAACCACGGCTTATCACTCAACTAATAAGATAATTTTGGACCTAAATACTATCATATCTTGTTATTTGGACCTTCCTTTGTTATATTTAGCCTTAAGAATGCATATAAAATATGTGCAAGTAATAGTTTTAGAATGTTCAAAAAAGGCTTACATTTCCACTCCATCGGCAAGTGCCGACCTCAAACTTTGACAATTTTTCACACTCACATTTTTAATGTAAATTTGACAGTTTTTGGTTTACAAACTAATTTTTGCATGTAGAATCTGAATATAATTTCAGATATGTGCTATTTCCTTTTGTTTAGATTTTACAAGCGTGGTTACACTTACCCCTGAAATTTCGCAGTCGGGGCAAGTGGCTTTTTGGATTCGGGGCAAGTGTAACCAGGGTGTAACTCATATAATATTCAGTATAAAGAAAAAAAAAACTTTGTTGTAAATATAAAATTAGGAATTTAGAAGATGGTAACATTTTACACATATTGTTACTGAGTTAAGTTGGTTTGAAGAAAAACATAATTGTTTGTGAGTGAACTGCTTAAGGGATTATATAACTTTTACGTTAAACTTACCCCGTTTTATAATTTAGGATTTTCTTGCCCAATTGTAAATAAAAAAACAATATTACTGTGAGATTTATTCTACGTACATGTTAAACAACATTAAAAACCATGTAAGTACCAATTAATGTTGTGTTTTTTATGTTTTAACAGTAATCTTTCCTTTTTGCATGTTTTGCGTTTTTCACAAAACGCGAGAAGAGGTTCACGAAAAAGTTCGTAACTTGAGTAAAAATTAAGATATTTTAATAAGTCAAAAAGTCTTGGAATCAGCAAAAGATTTGGAATCTGGCCACTTGCCCCATGTCTATTTTTCAATGCTTTATATATTTTTAACAGGCAGGGGTTACACTTGCCCCGAACCCTGGGGCAAGTGTAACCACAAAACGGAAAATTTTTAGTCATTTTTTTTTACCAAAAAAGATTTTATTTTTTAATAACAATGCATATTGTTTTAAAGCCCATTAGTCAAAGTTTATGCATACAAAATTTCAGAACTGTATCCTGTATAACAATATGGCAATTTGAGGTCAAAGCTGAACTATGCCAAAACGTGGTTACACTTACCCCACTTCACCCTAGTTAGGATAAAACCTAAAATAATAGAAGGGTAACCTAACCTATCATAAACATGGTAGGATAACATCTAAGAAGAACTTAATAAGCTATTGCCTATTCTTTCCTGACCATGCGTTGTATACAACATTTTTTATCCTAAGTCTATTTCTATTTTGTGCACTTAATTTATGACCTTCCTGTTCAAGAAACATATCTATTTTCCCAAAACTAGGCGGTTTTTGGGTAATAATATTATCAGAGAAGTAGGCCAGAACAAATGCCTTTTCTTTTTCTTCCCAAGCTAATTTTTTTTGTTTAGTTTTCTTGGGAACGTCCTTTGCTTCTGTTCCTTTGGTGGTCTTCCTGGAGATGTAACTTTTTTTTGGTTTAGTAGGCCTACTATTGTCTTTGTTTTGGGTGGAGTTTATTGGGCTTAATGGGCTTCTTTCATTATCTGATTGGTCATTCACTTCAGATTCCTGTCCATCTTCAAATTCCTCTTCAATGTTTATTTCATCCAAGTTTTTGTTTTTTATCAAGTCAATGTTGCCTTTGGAAGCCATCATCAGAAGCTTGCTGATTTTCGTCAAGTCCGTGGTGTCATTTGATAATCTATAGTATTGTCTGTGCACCCTAATATCGTGGCCCATGAATTTTGCTAACGCGTCCAACTCATTTTCTCGTAGATTAAGAAGAGTGGTCATTGTGGCTACATATTTTCTGAGATTGGTACATTTCAAATTATTTGGGTGAGAAGCACCACTTTGTGCGGCAAATCTTCTAAGTAAATCCCCAGCTCTATAATGTCCCAATTGGTGTTTGGTTGAGGCAAACAAATATGGATTAGTGTCCAATTCATCGAACTGTTTTCTTAGATTTAACATTATGTCTATAGACTCCTGCATATCTGGGGAAAATAGGACAGGAACATTTTTATTGGCCTTCCCCTCCACTTCAACTCTTTTCCATGTTTGCGCAAGAAGTTTTTCCACAGGATCTGAGATTTCTTCCTCTGAACAGTTTGAAGTTGTCTGCAAATAGTCGTCCTTGAGCATTGATTCCGTTTCCCCAGGTCTCCTAAAATTTAACAATATTACCCTAATCAATGTAACTTCTGTGAGTTGGGTGAACATGTTAATACTTTTTTCAGACTGTATCTGGTCCTTTAATTTCTGATCTTGTTCTTCCAAATACTTATGGATGGCCTGAACATCTTTTGCCAAGACTTTCGGTTTGGGTTTGCTTCTTCTAATCGTTCTAAAAGTTCTATCCACTTTCATCTCTACATCTGTGTTCCAATTTAGGTCCATTAGAAAAAAAAAATTGTTAATGCCGTTGGTATCAGGCTCTAAACCTTCTTCGAGGCACATCCCTTTACAAACTACTGCAAGTTTTCTTATGGACTGACCAATTTTTCTGGCCAAAGAGGGGGTTTTAAATAATCCAGTTTTTTCATCATAATCAGCAATATTGTATACTGCATCTTTCACAAACTTATACATGTCACCTTTAAACAGGTTCATACAACTGTAAAAATTAGGTTTTAACTTTTTCAATTCAACCATTAACCTGCCGACTTCTCTCAACCTATTGACAATTATCCTGTGTTGTTTCCTCCTGTGACCATATTTCGAGTACAATTGTTCTCCCCATCTTAGCAGTAAAGGATCTTGCAAGATGAATTGTGAAGTAGAATCTTTTTTCATGGTGGTCAATATGTTTTATTTCAGATCACTTTGGCTTCCAGCAACTGAATACATAAGCTCAGATCTCTGAGTTAGAGATCTATCCCTGCCCTTTATTTTGTTAACATTATGCTTCTTCCTGCAGTTCGGGACATGTTTGTGCAATTCTTTTCTACTGTAGCTTGCACCGCAAACTTCGCAGGGAAGAACTTTGGATGGTGATTTCATTGCTTGACTCCTTTTTTTTGGTATTATTTCTCCTTCTCCAACAGAAAGAACAGTTTGGTTATGCATAAAGTAACCTCTATTTACCAGCTTAGTTATAAGATTTCTCCTTTCTTTACATTTTTTGGGTAGAGCTAAAAACTCTGAAACTTCAACTTCATCGCTGTGTTTTGCTTCGAAATGTTTGGCCAATTTGTTTTTCTTAAATTGTTTGCAAAAAGTGCAAAACAGCTTTTTATCCCATTTTCTTTTACCTTGGGTCTGAATTGAAGGTATTGCTAAAGTTATTTTCTTTGGCACATTTACTAACGGTTCAAGGTTATTATTAACTTCCCTTACAAGCAATGTGTTACTATCTAAATTTTCAACAGGAGAAACATGTTTCAATACATAAATATCACTCAATGGTTTCAACGGGTTTTCTTTTAAGTGAGCCTTACTGTTGGTGTTTGTAGCATTTGAAGAATCAGACTCACAGAGAGATGGAGATGAAGGAGGCTGGTATTCATCTTCAGTGTCACAGCCAGATGAAAAATCAAGCACACCTATGTCTTTTTCGTTGTAGTTGATAGTGTTCTTCTGGCAGTTTCGTTTTTTCCTCTTTAGTGCGCCCGCAGTACAGTCGTCTGAAAGAAAAAACATTGTGTTACAATCCACAATAAGATTTAACTTCCATAACACTTTGAATGTTCATAATTATTTTACAGCTGTTGGCTTTAATATTTTATTGTATCATACTAAAAGTTGAATGGTATTGGTAACAAACATATCTTTCGGAAGCTCTTTTATCAATTTTCCATTTATAGATATAAATTATGTCTGATTGCACGATTACTCAACCCAAAATGATCCAATTTTGATGAAAATTTGGTACAAACGTGTAAACCTACGTTTACTGGAACGAGTTAGCGAACCAGCAGAATCGGACCATGGTAACGGGGGTTTATGGGGTTAAAATGGGTTTCTCCCATTTTTGACCCTAAAATTAAAAAAAAATTGCAATTCCTCTCCAAATCATTTTGAATACCGGTAGCTTAAAAAAATGATTTTGTATATTGAAGCGCTGTTGTAGGCCTAAGCCTAACGGTCACGGAAAAATTCAGAAATAGTGTAATATAAAGTTCCTTTGTGATTCTTATGGAGAAACTTAAAACAGCTGTAGTTTACTTCTTTATGGATATATGTTGATAACATTTGGAAACTATTTTTATTTCATCATATACTGACGATGGTCAAAAGTCAAAAACACTTTTTACCTTCCCCATAGCAGCAAACCTAAGCACTCGTTATTAAATGTGATGTTATTTAAATTGGGAATAAATATGTCTTAATTATGGAAATATTTTGTACACGAACAAATAAAGGAACATATAAAGAAAAATTTTAATATAGGCCTACCTAAACGGTAGAAGTTGACGCGATTAGGCAGGAGTTATGTCTATACCAGCTACAAACAGGATCACATAAATGCAAGTATTTATACCAATTTATGAAAATGCGATCAGGAGGCTATTTGCTACGCTCATTGCGCAAGCAACTTGTAGGAAACTAGTCGAGAACACCATTTTTAAGAAATAATCGAACTTTTGTACGAATTACCCGTAGCCAATAAACGTAGTGTAACCAAAGAACTGCTAGATTTTCTTGGACAGGTATGGCCTTCCTGTAGATTGTTTAAGGCTGTTGTTCCTGTAGTTTGCGAACCAACATTATCAAATTATGGGAACAGGGGTTTTCCCCTGTCAGGTAGTTAAGATAAATTCAAGCATAATCTGGGCAGTTTTTCCCAGTACTGTAACTAAAATCTGTTTTATGAAGAAGAGGGGAAAAATGATATCATATAGCCTACCTAAGATATTGCTGGAAGGTTCCTCTGGAATTGGAGGCAATTGCGATGTCCCCAGTTGTGCAGTTATGCTCAGTTCTTCATTATTAGGTGTCACTGCCAAATCTTCAAACAGTTTTCTCTTCTAAAAACATAACAATAAAATAAATTACAAACATTGCTAGTATCTTTTTAAGCAGATGTTAAAAGTCAAATTAATCAAAAAGATTTTAAGCTATTTCCTAAAATTTAGTAGCCTATGTAAATCAATAACTTGCTGCAATGAAATTACATAAAATAATGAGCATCCATCTTTAAGTTAAGTTACTTCAATTAAATGCAATTTTGGGACTGTTTGAAAGAATACGCCTATGCATTTTTAAGATCTCTTACAAAATTATCATAGCCTAAATAAATTTAATGAACATACACAGTATGGTCTTCATACTAAATTTTGCAAGCTGAAAACCCCCATTTTGCTACCTATCAGGAAATAAAACTCTAATCGAGCCACAATGTTTAACCGCGGCTCAAAACCGCATTATGTCCTGGCCTAAAGGCTAATTAATAACAACCACCCTATCCCATATAGCCACTCAACCTACCTTCAATATATTGTTTGATTTGAAGCTCGGTGTAAACTGAAGATGTTCTTTAGTCTCATCCAACGGTTGCAGTTTGCCAGTTCGCTCACAGAGAGATGGAGATGAAGGAGGCTGGTATTCATCTTCAGTGTCACAGCCAGATGAAAAATCAAACACACTTATGTCTTTTTCGTTGTAGTTAATAGTATTTTTCTGGCAGTTTCGTTTTTTCCTCTTTAGTGCGCCCGCAGTACAGTCGTCTGAAAGAAAAACCATTTTGTTACAATCCACAATAAGATTTAACTTCCATAACACTGTGAATATTAATAATAATTTTACAGCTGTTGGCTTTAATATTTTCTTGTATCATACTAAAAGTTGAATGGTATTGGTAACAAACATATTTTTCTGAAGCACTTTTATCAAATTTCCCATTTACATATATAAATTATGTCTGTTAGCGTGATTACTCAACCCAAAATGATCCCATTTCGATGAAATTGGTACAAACGTGTTAACCTACGTTTACTGGAACGAGTTAGCGAACCAGCAAAATCGGACCATGGTAACGGGGGTTTATGTATATCATTTATCAGGAGTTTCATTTATCAGGATCATCGATCAGGAGGCTATTTGCTACGCTCATTGCGCAAGCAACTTGTAGGAAACTAGTCGAGAACACCATTTTTAAGAAATAATCGAACTTTTGTACGCATTTCCCGTAGCCAATAAACATAGTGTAACCAAAGAACTGCTAGATTTTCTTGGACAGGTATGGCCTTCCTGTAGATTGTTTAAGGCTGTTGTTCCTGTAGTTTGCGAACCAACATTATCGGATTATGGGAACAGTGGTTTTTGGGGGTTTTCCCCTGTCAGGTAGTTAAGATAAATTCAAGCATAATCTAGGCAGTTTTTCCCAGTTCTGTAACTAAAATATGTTTTATGAAGAAGAGGGGGAAAATGATATCATATAGCCTACCTAAGATATTGCTGGAAGGTTCCTCTGGAATTGGAGGCAATTGCGATGTCCCCAGTTGTGCAGTTATGCTCAGTTCTTCATTGTTAGGTGTCACTGCCAAATCTTCAAACAGTTTTCTCTTCTAAAACATAACAATAAAATAAGTTACAAACATTGCTAGTATCTTTTTAAGCAGATGTTAAAAGTCAAATTAATCAAAAAGATTTCAAGTTATTTACTAAAACTTAGTAGCCTATGTAAATCAATAACTTGCTGCAATGAAATTACATAAAATAATGAGCATCCATCTTTAAGTTAAGTTACTTCCATTAAATGCAATTTTGGGACTGTTTGAAAGAATACGCCTATGCATTTTTAAGATCTCTTACAAAATTATCATAGCCTAAATAAATTTAATGAACATACACAGTATGGTCTTCATACTAAATTTTGCAAGCTGAAAAACCCCATTTTGCTACCTATCAGGAAATAAAACTCTAATCGAGCCACAATGTTTAACCGCGGCTCAAAACCGCATTATGTCCAGGCCTAAAGGCTAATTAATAACAACCACCCTATCCCATATAGCCACTCAACCTACCTTCAATATATTGTTTGATTTGAAGCTCGGTGTAAACTGAAGATGTACTTTAGTCTCATCCAACGGTTGCAGTTTGCCAGTTCGCTCACAGAGAGATGGAGATGAAGGAGGCTGGTATTCATCTTCAGTGTCACAGCCAGATGAAAAATCAAACACACTTATGTCTTTTTCGTTGTAGTTAATAGTATTTTTCTGGCAGTTTCGTTTTTTCCTCTTTAGTGCGCCCGCAGTACAGTCGTCTGAAAGAAAAACCATTTTGTTACAATCCACAATAAGATTTAACTTCCATAACACTGTGAATATTAATAATAATTTTACAGCTGTTGGCTTTAATATTTTCTTGTATCATACTAAAAGTTGAATGGTATTGGTGACAAACATATTTTTCTGAAGCACTTTTATCAAATTTCCCATTTACATATATAAATTATGTCTGTTAGCGTGATTACTCAACCCAAAATGATCCAATTTCGATGAAATTGGTACAAACGTGTTAACCTACGTTTACTGGAACGAGTTAGCGAACCAGCAAAATCGGACCATGGTAACGGGGGTTTATGTATATCATTTATCAGGAGTTTCATTTATCAGGATCATCGATCAGGAGGCTATTTGCTACGCTCATTGCGCAAGCAACTTGTAGGAAACTAGTCGAGAACAACATTTTTAAGAAATAATCGAACTTTTGTACGAATTACCCGTAGCCAATAAACGTAGTGTAACCAAAGAACTGCTAGATTTTCTTGGACAGGTATGGCCTTCCTGTAGATTGTTTAAGGCTGTTGTTCCTGTAGTTTGCGAACCAACATTATCGGATTATGGGAAGAGGGGTTTTTGGGGGTTTTCCCCTGTCAGGTAGTTAAGATAAATTCAAGCATAATCTAGGCAGTTTTTCCCAGTTCTGTAACTAAAATATGTTTTATGAAGAAGAGGGGAAAAATGATATCATATAGCCTACCTAAGATATTGCTGGAAGGTTCCTCTGGAATTGGAGGCAATTGCGATGTCCCCAGTTGTGCAGTTATGCTCAGTTCTTCATTGTTAGGTGTCACTGCCAAATCTTCAAACAGTTTTCTCTTCTAAAAACATAACAATAAAATAAGTTACAAACATTGCTAGTATCTTTTTAAGCAGATGTTAAAAGTCAAATTAATCAAAAAGATTTTAAGTTATTTCCTAAAACTTAGTAGCCTATGTAAATCAATAACTTGCTGCAATGAAATTACATAAAATAATGAGCATCCATCTTTAAGTTAAGTTACTTCAATTAAATGCAATTTTGGGACTGTTTGAAAGAATACTCCTATGCATTTTTAAGATCTTACAATTCTATTTTATTCTTACAATTTTATTTAGGCTATGATAATCTTACAAAAGTATCATAGCCTAAATAAATTTAATGAACATACACAGTATGGTCTTCATACTAAATTTTGCAAGCTAAAAAAACCATTTTGCTACCTATTAGGAAATAAAACTCTAATCTCCACAATGTATAACCGCGGCTCAAAACCGCATTATGTCCTGGCTTTAAGGCTAATTAATAACAACCACCCTATCCCATATAGCCACTCAACCTACCTTCAATATATTGTTCGATTTGAAGCTCGGTGTAAACTGAAGATCAGGATCTGCTTCCTATAATGATTTATAAGGTATTAATTGATTGCATTAAAATGAAAAAATATATACAATTACGCTTTACCTTCGTCAATACACCTCAACTGCCATAACGGCCGTAACCAACAAATTTATCCCATTTGAGCTGTATTGGCGAAGGTAAAGCCCAATTTTAGTTACGTTACAGCTCAGGAATAAAACTTGGAAAGATATTATATAGGTAGGCTACATATTTTCCCTCAATATCGTCAAAATTAACGAAATATACTTGTATTATTTTAGTTATGGTATTTTGGTATTATCCGGAGGCCAAATCTATACAGTGCGTTACTGCAGTTGTGTTAGGTTGGGTTATCATTACCTAATGAAAAGAATATAGGCCTACTTTAATTGACCAACTGCCAATATTTGACATGATTATAATTAGGCCTAGCGATCTTTGAGTTCTGCCTCACAGAAGGCAGCGATGTCGGTGAGGATTAAGTTGAATGTGACACCGCCTATAGCTGCCACACTAAAGGTGATGCGTGTGCTCTAATCAATGACCACACCTTGCCCTACTTAGAAGAGATTTGGCGAATGTATGACTCATCTGGTTTGAATCATAATAAAACAAGGAATGTCCTACAAGCGTACTTATGATAACCCAACCTAACATAGCCACCACAGCCCGTTGTATGAGGCTGACACTCAGATAATACCAAAGTACCTAATTTTAAGTAGGCCTGCACTATTACAATTAAAGACTAACTTGAAATTCCGAAAATGTGTTATCAAGAAATGTAGTAATAGTTTAAGTTACACATTTTTGTAAAGGCAATAACATTGGAGATCAAATGAAGTAAGATTTGCTCATGGAAAATGATCATTACAATAAATATTTAAGACTTTTTTTCTATAAAAACATTTAGTTATCCACATAGGCCTACCTATGTTTATTTTTCAAACACATAACACCCACATAAAAACTAGGCCTATACCTACCTATAAAATAAAATAAAATTTATTCCCCTGCATGAATACATTTTAGTTATGAAGGAAAATATAAGCAAATGTATATTTTATGGTGTTTTAAATAAAATGCTGCTGTGCCTTTTTTAAGTGGCAATCAAATCGTTTATTCATAATTTGACAAATTGTTTCAAAAACGGGATAAATGTTATTGTCCCAAACTTTAAATTTATCATGTATATTATCCACAAGAAACAGTTTAGAAACTAAATAAATACAAATTTACAACACACTAATAAATGTAATTCAAAGTACGCCTAATAAAGTCACACCAGCGATATTCGTTTTGGTAGACAGTCAATAGAGTTCACAAATTCCGGCTGAAAATAGTGTTTAAAGTTTCTAAAAGTAAAGTCCCAGTTTATTCAACACACAATAACAAAACTAAACATTTACAACTTAAAATCATCAGCCTAATGCAAACTGATAAAGTGAAATCATACCAAAACTCGACTTAAATAGTCGTTGGTCAACAGATATTGAGGTTAGTTAGTCAGACAAATGTTCACGAAAAGTAACAGCTGATAGGTAACTTTAGAACCAGTGGTGCAATCCAAAACAGTTAAATACAAACGCACTGAATTTCAAATAAGTTATGTAGTCGCTCTGCCACGTCACAAACACAAGGATTACTTGATTTTTATTTTTGTTTTGAGAACATTTGAGAATCAGGGCTTCTATATCGAAATAATTTTAGCACCATAATATATGAAAATTCGGGTACACTTCCATATCTGTTGGCACGAACAACCGAAATGAAAATATTGATTAATATATCGATTCTCCCATACCTATATCGTTTGTAGGTAGCCTAAGGTTAACCTAACCTAACTAACCAAAGGATATGTCGAATTAAACAATAATCAATATTACTCATTCGGTTGTTTGTGACAACAGATATGGAAGTGTACCCGAAAATTATTCCTTATGCATCGGCGCCACTCGCTTCTTTAAAGACAATAAATATTCCTTGTTATAATTTTTTGAAAATAGCCTAACCATGTTTTGCTGTTTTGAAACGCTTAGGCCTACATGTAAATACAACTGACATTTTCTCGTTCACTTTAATGCCTAATTAACTTACCGTACCTACAGTGATCTATTTGTGAGGTACCCGGTACAGTCCATCTAGGCTTTTAGGCTACTTTTTATTTAGATTTAACCAATACCTTATAAAAAACGAATTATAGTGCTTTTTAGCTTTCTTAATGGCATGCTGACTAACTTCTACTTGTTTAATGATAAGCCTCCATAGGGAAGGATATTACACATTTGCCTATAGGCTACCTAGGGGACTCTCAGTAACTCGTAACGCCCCGTTTATGCACCAAGAGCGGGAGCGGTACGGTAGCGATTTTCAACACCATTGAGTTAAATGGGGCTGTTTAAGCACGAAGAGCGATAGCAGTAGCGGTTGACCGCCCGCTGCGATTTCTAATTCGACCGCTGTGTATCTTAGTTAGAAATCGCAGCGGTTGCTTGGTATAGAGCGGTTTTCAACTACATTTAGGCAAATGAGACTGCTTATGCACGGCGGGAGCGGTTGCAAACTTGACCCACGCGCACGTGCACTTAGGACAAATAGCCTAGTTGAGTTAATTATTTGGTAGAGTTTGAGTTGGCAAGACTGTGTGCCCCATCCATTCTCCTTTGACCAACCGCTACCGCTAATGCGCTAATGCTTGCACAATTCTGACAAAATTTTCACAGCGGGAGCGGGCTCGCTATCGCCCCTTTTGGAGCCCGAGGATCGCTCGCTTTTGGTGCATAAACGGGGCCTTAGGTAGGCATATGAGAGGCAACTTGGATACAGTTTCTTAACTGGGCTACGCTAATATTGATTGAAACTATCGATTCGATTAGTAAACCTTCATGCGATTTTTTCACAATCAGCAAGTTTGGTTGGTTAGATTAAGTTAGGTCATGATAGGCCTAGTTTAATTTATAGATTTATTTTACGATATCGATTATTAATCAATATTTACAATTTAATAGTTTCTATCAATATTAACGGAGCCCAGTTAAGAAACTGTACCCGGCAACAACTTTAATCTAGCCTAGGCCTAGGCCTACTAACTTATGACTAACTGGTCCTGGTCATTCAATGAACTTAGCCTGTAATACTAGGCCAAGACAAACCCTAAACCTAACTTGCATTCATCCGAATACATTTATTTAGGAATTTAAAATTAAACTAAAATCGGAATGAGGCTAGGCCTATTGTGTAAGCTAAACTTACTAACTTATTAAAGTACAATGTTTGCTTACCTCTAATGCCGCAAATCGGTTGCTACTGCAACCGTTGGCTATATGTAGCAAATATTCTGTCCTACTACAGAACTTGTTTTTACACCTCAAACAATAATTCATGACCGGAGCACAAAACACGCGACTTGAAACATAACGTCTAAATTAACCTCCAAATGCCAAACTTTGTACTCACTCACTAACCGGGCTTGGTTTTGTTTGAGTGAGCCTACACGACGAAAAAATATGAAAGGGAAAGTATTTTAAATAAAAGATAAGTTAAACTTGTGATAAAATCGAAGATTAAATAACTATGACTGAGTGAAGAGTTAAGAATGAAGATGTGAGTTAGGTAGAGGTAAAACGTGGTAGAACTCAACTCACTGAGATGAGAAGGAGAAGAGAAAGAGAAAGAGAAAAGGAAAAGTAGTTGGAGAGGAGAAGAAACGGAAACGTAGTTTTTTTTATCTGTATTACACGATCCTCGACTAAGAGATTTTGCTATAGGTTACACTATATGAAAATACCAGTGTCATAAATTAGGTGATCGTTGCAGACAGCCAGGGGCGGCGGAAGCAAATTTTTGTTAGGGGGTCAGAAACCTATGGCGGAGGTCCACATCCGGGGGGTCTGGGGGGTATGGAATACCCCCCAGGGTACAAGGGGGGTCCGGGGAAAATTTTGAAAAATAGAAGCCTTAAAACGTGTTTTTAGGCTACCTGAAGAACATTTTTCTTCAAGCAGTAACAAAGAAAATTTACAATTTAACAAAGACGCTACTCTGTTCATTATAAAAACATTATAATAAATAATACACACACATCTCAAACAAACAAAAAATGAAGTACTGGTGCCCAGATTTTACTAAAGCTGTCAGCAATGAGTTGCTGCAGATGACAGAGAAGAGTAAACAAGCTCTAAGCCCTAGGGATTTATGTGTTCGCGTAATTTCGGCAGGCTCTGCCCCTCCCCCTCAAAACTGAATTAATAATAAGTTAAATTAAAATTGGCTGCTTGATTATAGTTAATCACAAAAGTAAGACTGTAGGGTATAACCAAGTAAGTGTGTCCACTGGGGCTAAATAATGGTTTACACAAAAAACATTACAAACATTGTATTGGCACAACATAAAATTAGTAAGAAATACAAAACCTTTTTGATGAATTATTGCTAAAATAAGTAAAATCCCACACGAGAATCTCAAGATATTAGCCTACTACAAGTTTACTAGATTTGTAAACTTCTGCTGATGAAACTTCAGTAGGCCCTAACTTGAACTTCAGTCTTTGAAATTCCCGAAAACTGCACAGCGACTTTCAACTCTAATGACAAACATTCATGCAATGTGCTTATCATCAATAGATTTAGCAATGTCCCTATGGACGGATAAGATGGCAAGATGGTTCAATCTCTTCTGCGTCATCGTGGAACGCAGCCACGTTTTCAAGCGACGAAGACAAGAAAAGGTTCTTTCTGCAGTTGCTGCAGACGCTGGTAAGACAAGCAGTAACTTGACAACCTTTCCTACTTCAGACAAAAATCTTTTGTTTTCTTGAGGCTCACTATTTAAAGTCACAACTAAATCACGTACACTTTTAACTTCCTTCTTTTTTGGTAAATCTTGTAGACGGTTTAATTGGCTTGTAAGCTTTTTCTTGTCCAAGTCAGTAATTAACTCTCCAGGAATTAACCCAAAATTCCAATACGATCATGAACATCAATTAAATTAATTATTACTTTTATAAGGTTTTGTGAGTATTAAGCCCCTTCATAATAAATGTAATAGATTATTATTAATAACTAAATTGTTTAACTTTGTACTTAACTTCAGTAACTGTTATTAGGCCTACTTATACTTTTCTTCTTGGGCCGAAAAAATAAATGTATACAGTACAGAATGCTTTATATCTTTAATTTTTTTTATATGAACCCCTGACCCTTGACCCCCCTGACCCTTCCTAAAATTTCAGGGGTGTCAACTGACCCCCCTGACCCCCTGGTTCCGCCGCCACTGCAGACAGCTAAACTATTATTGCGTGAAAGTTTTATTTTACTGTAAAAAAGACCTCGAATTCATTAAAAGAGGTGGGGGACCCCCTCCAAAGTGTGTGAGCTGAAGACCTCGAATGACCCTTAAAGCAAAAGTAAAAAGACCTCAGATTCAAAGACCTCGAATTAGTACTGAACTGACACACGAAAACTTAAAGTCGAATATACGACTCCACATTTAACAAATTCCATAAATAATTGTGGTTTAAGGTTACATGTAATGCCGCTTAAGAGTTCCAACGCTAATTTACATTAAATGTCGTTGAGATCACCAGGACCTCGAATGACCTTTAAAACACCCCTTTACGCTAGGACCTCGAATCCACTCTTATGTACAGATGTGTGTGTGTGTCTGTGTGTCTGGATGTGTACAGAGCTAGGGACTACACCTGTGGTCCGATTTCAATGAAATTTGGTATGTAGGTTCTAATCCGTGGTATCTCCAGGCGTTTTTTTCATTTTTTTGAAATTTTGATTTTTTATGGGTATTTTCCCATAAAAACCCATAATAAACTGGAAAAATCGGATTTTCTCAAAAATGGCCCGAACGATTTTGATAAAAATTTAGTATGTTGTAGCCCTTTAAATTCTGAACAAAATGGTACAAATCCCATTTCTGTAAAAATTACGGTTCAAAAGTTATGGTAAATTATGTTATTTTCCCATAAAACCCCCATAAAATAACAAAAAATAGGATTTTAGACAAAAATCCGGTTTTGATTTAACAGAGTATGCTATGATCCTTACAATTTTGATAGTTTTTGTCATTTTTTAGAAAGTTTTAATTTTAATGGGGATTTTCCCATAAAACCCCATAAAAAACTGGAAAAATAGGATTTTCTCAAAAATGGCCTGAACGATTTTGATAAAAATTTAGTATGTTATAGTCCTTTATATTCTAAACAAAATGATACAAATCCCATTTCTGTAAAAGTTACGGTTCAAAGGTTATGGTAAATTATGTTATTTTCCAATAAAAATTCCCATAAAATAACAGAAAATCAGATTTTCCCAAAATTGGCTAGAACAATTTTGATAAAAATTTAGTATGTTATAGTCCTTTAAATTCTGAAGAAAATTTTACAAATCCCATTTCCGTATATTTACTCTCACCGCTTACTCATGAGAAAGGTTGTTGACAATCTTATGGGAGAAAGTATGTGTCAGAATGCTGATACCGTTTATTTAGTTTGATTTGATTTGATTAGTTGATTCCTGAGGTAGGACGGGCCCACAGCTAGTTAGAATTTGAAAATGCAACTATGGTGAAGTCATCAGATTGTTCTCACAGTGACATGCAAGCAAATAAAATGAATTAAGTGAGCAAAGTATTTTGCAAGTACTGTACTTGATGCTTTTGAACAATGCATTATTCTGCTTGAAGTTGAAAACCGTGATCAGAATTCCTAGATGGTCTGTTTATCAGCTGGAAGACCTGTACCCGAATCGGTGGAAGACAATTTAATCAATGTAGATAATCAATTCAAATTTCAATTCAATTCAAAATATCTTTATTCATTCAACAATACAACAAAATAACAATTGACAATTAATATACATTACATAGAATACAAGACATAGTTATAACCAATACAAATTAAGAATGAATAGTTAGGTTCCTCATTTTCTCGTGTTGAGGAACCATTACAATCTAAAAGACGTACTGGAGAACAAAAACAAATAATACATTATGCTATATATAAAGATTAAACATATATAATGGCAAATTTGTATCAAAACAATTTAAAACTATGAAATAAACGTTTTTTCACAGATTCAAATAAAACATTAAAGTGATAGATAATAACAATAAAATACAGTACAGAAAAAAATCAAAACATGTGTACTTCCATTTACAACACCTAGGACAATAATGTTTCAACTCCAGGTAAAGTAAAAAGCCACTTCTTTAACCTATTTACAAATATTTTAGAACTAGTACTTAAACAAATATCCTTTGGAAGAAAGTTAAATAACTTAGGAGCTAGAAAACTAAAAAAGCGTCTAAAAAACTCATTATAAGGGTGTGGAGTAACAACAAAATTTCTAGATCTTAGTCTATCAGAATAAACCTGTTGATTTCCTAAAACGTGACCAGATCTAATAAAAAATATTCTTAGTACTCTGAAAACAAAGAGGTGTCTTAGTGGAAAGATTTTTAGAGATTTAAATAAGGGAAAACAATGTTCTAGCCTGTCTACACCCATAATCAACCTTACTATATTTTTTTGGGCTACAATCAAAGGAATAATGCTGGAGTGGTAAATACCTCCCCAACATGATATGCCATATTGCAGTTTGGAATCCACCAAAGCAAAATAAGCAGTTCTTAAAATAGATCGAGGACAGCAAGACTTTAGCAAATAAAATTTTCTTAGGCAAGACCATAGATATTTTTTTAGATTATTTACGTGGGGCTTCCAGCTAACATTTTCATCAACTGTGAGACCAAGATATTTAATGTCTTTAACTTTCTGAATATCCATGCAACCCTTACAAGAGGAAGCCGGTACTCCCTGTAGACAGTGTAAACCTTTATAAAGTAGTTTTTGATCTACTACATCGGTTTTATTCCTCAAGGAGAATCGAATGTACTTGGTTTTGTCACTCAGGGCCATTTTGTTTGAGGTGAACCAGATTTTTAATTGATCAAGATCTTCTTGCATATGTCTCATTAAAAGGGCTGAATCCTTATGACAGTAACTAAGAACCGTATCATCGGCAAAACAAGTTATTCTTCCAAAAAATGTTCCTGTACATAAATCATTGATATAAACTAAAAACAGTAAAAACAGAATAGGGCCAAGCACTGAACCCTGGGGGACACCACAGGTTATGAACAAATTAGAACTAGTGACCTTTTGTAGCTTAACACATTGAGATCTACCGGACAGATAACTATTAAACCAATTCCAGGCAACTCCTCGAACACCTGCATTCCAAAGTTTTGAAAGAAGTATTGTGTGATCAACTGAATCAAAGGCCTTTTTAATGTCCACAAACACACCACACACATTGTTGTTAACATTTAGACCATTAGCAATTTGAGAACAGAACTGTAACAACGCGTCTTCTGTAGATCTCCC